GACACTGCGTCGTCTCTGTGCTGTACCGTGCTGCCCACAATAAACGGACGACACTGTCGTCTCCGTGCTGTAACACTACGCCGCTTGTCCCGGCTCTCACTCCTTCACTCAGGAAACCCGTTCGGCTGTCCCCCCGGGTCGGGACAGGCGAGCACACGCACCCTATAGCAAAAACCTCTCCAAAAAAAAAAAAAAGCACTGGGTAGTGTTCTGGAAACAGAGACACTCTTTTTTTTTTTTTTTTATTTTGGAGAGGCTTTTGCTGTAGGGCGCATGCTCTTACCAGAAAGACAAACAGAGGGACAGAGAGACAGAAAGTGAGAAATCACCCTCCAGGTGGGATGGCCACGCCACAATCTCTTCTCCTCTGTTCTCCTCTCAGGATCTTGGGCATGCACACACACACGCCCGGTGTGAGTTTTAAGCCACTGGGTCTGGGATGTGAACCACGGTCGACCACGTGGGAGTCCAGCGACATAGCCATTACGCTAACTGCTGGTCCCAGAGACATTCCTTTGAGGCTGGCTTGTGAATGGGTGAATGAGAAGCAGATCAGGATGGAGAGGCTGTTGGGAGGCTCATCATGGAGGACTTGGACTACCAGAGGCTACAGGGAGGATTAAGGAGTGTGATGTTTTTATTGGTAGGATTTGGAGCAGGGGAGTAATGTGAATTGCCAGTAAGACAGCCCCACTTGGAGGTACCTTAGGTAACTCAAAGCTTGAGTATAAAATTAAAAACAACTGCCTCTTCCCAAACCTGCTTTCCCCCGGTGGTCCCTTTGGCGAATGACATGATTGACACAGTTGGCCCATCAGAAATCTGGACACTTCTCTCATTCTCACTGTAGCCAGACCTCAGATTATAGCAAATGTTCCCTTGAGTACTTGTAGTTTCTATCCTCTCTCATTCAAAACCTTTTACAACTGGACTATTACAATAGCAATAGTGTATCAGGACTCACAGATAGGCAGGCAGGGAAGCAGGTGAAGTCCTGGGTCAGCTTCACAAAAGAGTAATGTAGCAGCATAGAACTGTAGACTCAGTACACAGGAGTCCAATAGGATTTGGATTTTATAACCATTTAGCCAGTTGCCACTAACTTTCAAGCAATTTTGAGCACATTACACTTACTCTCAATTTTTTTTTGAGAGAGAGATTTTTTGCTATAGGGTGAGTGTGTTTGCCAGAGATACAGAGATATAAAGGGAGAAATCACCCCCCACCCCCCAGTGAGGATGACCACACGGCACTCCCTTCTCCTCTATTCTCCTCTCGGGATTCTGGGCATGCATGCACATATGCCCAGTGTGAGTTTAATCTGGGCTTAAAACCCACTGGGACTTGAACCACAGTGGACTATGTGGCAGTCCAGTGACATAACCATTATGGCATCAGATGGTCCCAAATGGCACAACTTCTAAAAACAACTGAGTTCAGTTTTCATTGGAGATTGTGTGAACATCTACACTTTTTAGATATAAGGCTCTCAAATTTAAATCCCGACTACCTAATTGGTAAGAGTTTTTTTTTCCCCCCATGTGCCTCAATGTGAGATGTGCTTTGAACAATTTTTTTCTTAAACATCTGGTAATCTCCCCACTAAGCTTAAAAGAATAAGTGAGGTTTATAAAATATATAGTCATACGTTGCTGAACGAGTAGCACATGTTTTGAGATATGTGTTGTTAGGTAATTTTGTCATCGTGTGAACATTACATGGTATACTTGTATAAACCTAAATGATATCGCCGAGTACATACCTGGTATAATATAGTCTTATAAGAGCTCTGTCACAGGTGAGGCTTGCCAATGACCACAGCATTGCTACATGGCAAGTGCCTGTAAAATCACTGGGTTTGTTTTCTGCCTTAAGAGATGAACATGTTAATTGTTTAACTGGGATAAGATAGGGGAACTATAAATGGATCAGGGACCAATGCAACAATTAGGAGTACCGAGCTTACTTCTGGGTAGGAAGGATTTGATATCAGCACCTGCCTATTCTGATTTCATCACATTTCCTTGCAGGCTTCCCATGAAAAGAGCTTCCCTCATCCTTCTCTCAATCATGACAGGAGCTTCTTGGTACCACCCCCAACTGAAAGGTAGTAGAGGCATTGAAGGAGGCCTAGCCTGGTTCCAGAGCACCAGTTGAGAAGAGTTTGAATCTCACCTACTTGGTCATAAAGACGGTTGAGTGAATTTGGGGGCTTATTATTTTAATAATTTTCCTAATTTCTAAATAACCATTTATCCAGTTTTCGCCAGATAATACATCAAAGTGTTTCTGGCCTCTCTCTGTTAATTCAGTGTGGAATCCAAGCACCTTGTGATAATTTTCTCTGGAGCATGGAGGGTAATTCTCTGCCTTCATCTCAGTCTGTGCTAAACTTGTTTCAGACCCCAAGCTGGGTCATGTGGACACGCACTCAGCCCGCCCATCTGGGATCCTGTCATTATTTGACAGAGGGCATTGGAGATAGCATCAGCACGAGAGTTTCTATATAACATCACAACGATCTATTCCGTTTCCATGTTTGCAGATGAAATGGATTTATAGCACAAAAATTATTGAACTGTATTGTTGAGATGATTTTCAATAAATAATAAGGGTCACTAAAAGATTCTAAGGGACAGAAGACTTACGCTGAACTTCCTTTTCCTGCCTGGGTCTCTCCACACTTTGGCTGATCATTACGTGGCTGATAAAGACTGGTTGTGAATGCCATTGCAAAGCTTGTATGTTAAAATGTGCTCATATTGAAATTAGAGCATTCTTTGTCATTCCTCCTTCTGCTCTTGTATAGCCTGTCAACGGGGCTCCTTTGGGTTCTATACTTGCCTTTGATGCTGGTAAAAGGGAGCAGCTAGTAAATTCAGGCTTAGAATAGCCCAAACTGATTAGGTCTGTGGAATTCCCCTACTCTCATCAGTACTTCTTCAATTTTTTTTTTTTCAGCTCAAATGTTCTTTTGCAGTTACTAACTGTCCTGAGCCTTCAGTAACCCCCACTCCATGCTCCACCTCCATTCCTTTCATCAAACTAACATGTGGGTCCAGAACCACTGAAGAGTGCTTTTTAAAAAGAGTGAGCACGACAAGCTTTTATTGTGAGTGAGCGCCTTCAGATGTTGTATCCTACATTTGTTCTCGAAGCCCCTGATTGATTAATTTAGTCATTGAACAACTCAAAGAAGGCACTCTCTTGCCTATGTCTTTGAGTGCTGCCTTGCTCTCAGCCGTATTTGGTGCTCGTGCATGTACCAATATGAAATGATTTTCTCCCTTTTGAGCACATGCGTGCTATTGTTAGTATAGCGGCAACTCCAGTTCTTAAAATCAGTCACGAACCTACAGCTTTAATAATTTAAATAAAAGCTTATCATAGAAAAGCAAATATTTATAAGTATGAGTTGTCTAATTTAAAGAAATTAATTAAAAGTAAATGCTGAAGTGATTTAAAACTAAAGAGCCATTACCAAATAAACGTTACTTACCATTTGCCCCATGCCAGCTTACTAATTTCAGAGATGGAATTCTAGGCTGTCTCTTTGCTTTTCTATGCAAAAATACGTCATGACATTCCCAACCACCCAATAGATCTCCTTTGCCTTGTAGGGTGATGCTCTCAGAGTTTTCACTTCTAAGGGAGCTCTGGACACATCGTGCAGTGGGGAGACCACACCACTCAGAGGCAGAAGACTGGACTTGAACTGTGCAAGCACTCAGAAACATGATCCAGGTGACTTACATTTTCTGAGCTTCAAAGACCTCACATGTAAAATGGGGATACTAGACTGTCATTCTTTCCCTTGCAGGGTTGTGATGAGAACGACGTAAAAACAAACCAACCAAGAAACAGACTAATCATACTGAGGTCTTTAATACTTGCTGAATTTGAAGTCACACTCAGTTTGGTTTTGCTTTTTAAATAAAATTGGATCTCTTATATGGAATCTAAGGTGATTGCACAAAAACTGAGAATGAGCAAGAAAACAAATTGATAAACAAATCCAAACTTTATGGATGACTGGGTACAGACCCTATGTGTCCCTTTCCGCCTGAATATATGTCAATGCAGGAAAGTCTCTAGCAGAGATCACAACCTATAGGCTCAACTCTCTCTCTCTCTCTCTCTCTCTCTCTCTCTCTCTCACACACACACACACACACACACACACACACACACAAACACAAGGTCTCACACAGTGTTTTAAAGTTTTTCAGCTAGTTTAAAACATTTGAAAGTTGAGGCTCTCATAAAAATTCAGCTCTCCTGTTTTTTCTTTAAACTCATACTCTCCTTCCTTCAAGGCTACACTCAGCTGAAGCCACCCTCTCCAGCTGGGGAATTAGTCCCCCTTAGGCTCTGCTCCTGCCTGGTGCTCTTATTGACATTCCCCACCTGCCCCTGCAGCTATTAGGTTTGCAGTCCCTGCCCTGAGTGGATAACTCCTCGCCTCCAGGTTTCTGCACAACCACATTCAGTTTCCATCCTCCCTTCAGAGATATGTGCTATCCACATTTTCCACTTAAAAGAGGAAAAGTATCCTGGGAGCTAGACTAAAATTTCTATCACCTCACCTGGTCCACCTTTAAATCTTTAAAAATACATTTTTCCATAAATAGCTTTGTGCTAGAAATTGCTGCAGCAGGGAAAAGGGACCTCAGATAGGAACTCTGAAGACTGGATCACATTCCAGGGACTTTCAGACAAGTCTTTTTTACTTTCCCAGGTCTTATCTTCAACTCTGTGAAACTGAAGGCATTAGAAGAGGTGGCTTCCAATGAGTTGTCAGGGGTTACAGTTTCATGGCCCTGCCAGGAACCACATTGGCTCCAGCCCAAGATGACCCTGGCTCAGGTTACTGGCCTTCATCCTGACCTCTGTACGAGTGACCCTGACTGGACCTCTCCACTTATCTGTGCCTTAGTTTCTCCATCTGTAAAGTAATATGTGCTTTTCTTCCCACAAGAGTGAATGAAATGATATGGGTGAAAGCATATTGGAGGAAAGCTGGGACAAGATGAATCGGAGATCTCATATTACTGTTGTGTCTCAGGCTGCAATTATGAAAAGAAACTTGCCTTGTCTAATGGGATGTCTGGATCCGAATTTGCAATCCCCATTGAAAGGCATTATGCAGCTATTTCCATGGCCAACAAGGTAATGCTGTCAAGTTTCACCCCAGCTCTCAGTAGGATAATATTGAACCTCAGTTAAAGGGTAAATGTGTTTAGGTGGACTCTAATTTACCTCCTCGTTCCATGCATTTTATGAGGAATGTATGTAGTTAACTGTTATCAGGTTGTTAAGCAATTTGATGAGGTGTGAAGTAGACTTTTAATTGCTTTATTTACAACATACTTATCATTCACTAAGATTCAGTTGGGGCGAATTCTCTACTTAGTGGATTAATGTAAGTGTGGTGTAGTGAACTATAATTTGGCAAAACCAGAAGCTGAAAAATAGCCATTGAAATTTTATCAGTCATAGTCATTTGAGAATGGGATATATATTCAGTTGAGGTTTTCTTTAAAAAAATCACCAACAACCAAAATAGGAATTAAATTGTTAAGAAACTTCACCAACATTTGAAACGCAGTAACATGAAAAATCAAGATGGAGAAAGATAATTAAACTTAAATTGACTTGTCCTTCTCTAGTACTTTTTCTGGTAGAAAGGAATGGCTTCAGGGGACCATTTCATCTGTCAGAGTAGGCAATAAAATTACTGTTAGAAGTCAAATGCTTACTTAAAAAATGATTTTCTTATCTTTCCTGTATAGTTCTAGAGTGAATGGTCATCGCACTCTTTGGCTGGTGACAGTGATAAACACTAAAGTACAATCAAGCATCTGAAAAAGGTATGACCCCTAAGGTCTACACCACAGAATTTCACTGCCTTGCCAGGAAAAGAAAAAGATGAGGGACAAAGCAAGGTATATAGGCTCAGCCCTGTGTAAGTGCCCTGGGATACCTATTGTAGGTAAGGTTTCTGAAGAGAGTGTGCATTGGATTTGGACAAGCATAGAGAAGGCCTACATGCGGGATGAACCTATAAATGAAGCAATTGAGAAATTAGGATACTGGTGGAAAAGTTCTGGGGCCAAGAAAGCATTCTTGTTTTGTTTTGTATCTGCCTCAGATATTACTTCTTCCTGATCCTTTATTTCTGATTTGAATGCTCCTCTTGGGAACTTACGGAGCAATGTCAGCAATGTTCCAACCTAAGTCATGATTGTTCATATGGTAAAATGATATAAGATCATGGAAAATCTTTAATATAATTTAGGTATTGTATAATATATATGTCTACCTTTATGGAATGACTCATCACTATATGTAATTACCTGTTTTCATATGTGTCACCAATAAACTGTGAGCTTTGTGATCTAAAGACTATTACTGAGGTTGCTGCTGGCTCGCTAGTGCCTGGCACATGGTAAACCCTCAATACAGTATTTATTAGGAATGTTATCTAGAGATTCCTGTTGTGGGAAAAAAGATTCTCTTTTCTTTAAATGAGTGCTCATTTGGGTTTCAGCCTTGTGCCTTTCTCTCCCAGCAACTGGCATTTTGTTTGTTGCCTAATGACCAAGCTTTCATCGCAGCCACAAGTGCCAGTGAGTGAGTCAGCCTTGACGCTTGCTTGGTTGCCCCATAGTAAACAAGAGCACTGGGCTTGCAGTCAAACACCTGGGTTCAAGTTCTGGCTCTGCCACTGGCTTTGAGCGAGAAATTTCTCTGTGTTTGTTTTCTTCCCTCTAAAACGGACATGCCAATGCCAAGCTCATGGGGCTGTTGGGAGACCATTAAATTAGAGAAGTGGAAAAAAGCACTATGTAATTGACAATGCTCTATTCAAGTAAGGTATTATTACGAGTAGTCGTATTATCCTTCTGCTTTTTCCAAGCCTATGGTTCTGCCTTGCACATTAAAATCCTTCAAGGAAGGAGATTCTAGTCTTGAATCTTAATGTCCATGGCCAGTGCTTTCATTTGCTGTTGGATTTCCTTTGTCTTTTACAAAATTTTCTCTCAGACTGTGCTCCTCTCTGCCTGTGGGACTTTTGTTCAAACTTTAGGTACCTCCCTTTCTCCAATGGCTAGAGCCATGAGGCCTCCTCTTTGTAGTTCATCCTCCTGGGGCTTCTCCTCTTGATTTCCTGCCTCTCTGTCTGTGCTCAGGATTCAGCTAAGCTCCATTTGAGCAATCCTGTCAATCAACACAACCCCTGCTGTGAGCATCCAGAGATGATGAGCAACAAGGTGTTTCGGAGCAAGCAGTGCAGGGTTTCCACTTAATGTCTGACTTTGGGTAGGAGGCTTATCTTCTGTAACATTGTCTTAGTTTCCTTATCTCTAAACTTGGGATAGTCGTGGTTATTTGCTTCCATTGAGTAGCTCACAGGGTTAAATGAGAACGTCTATAAAGCACTTAGCACAGGTCATGGTAAGTAACTAATAAAGGTTGGCCGTTACTATTTTCCCTACCCCAACCTTTTGGTTGCTTATTCCTGATCCATAACTTTTTATGTGCTTTTCTCAGTCTTTCAAATATTCAAATATGTTCAGAGGCCTTTTTCTTCTCCAAAAATCTGCTTCCTCCAGATGGGAATGAGGCAACTTATCACCACTTTCCCAAAATTTATGGACTATGTTCATAAAAAACGTATACAAAATACACAAAAATGTACTCTCTCTCTAAACAGTTGTTCTTTTTTAGTCTTGTCCAAGTTATATTCTATATGTGTAATTGTTTATTTGTGGGTCCACATTGATGTCCCCTCTTAAGAGAATTGCCGCAGGACTTGAATTTGTGATTATTCATGTTCTCAGAGAAAGACAAACACAATTACACATGCAGCTATAAAGTGAGTTATGGATGCATGCATCAAAACCCAAAGGAAGTTGGGCAGCAGCCAAAAGACCATCAGGCACAGTCTCGAAAGAGACATAACATCCTCATCTCTTGTCTTTTTTCCTTTATATGGTATTATCTGGGCAGGTGAACACTGGATCACATTTACTTTAGGAAGCGTTCTTGAGCCTATGGGTCAAATGATAATCAGACCTGGAAGTAGAGAGTAGTTGGGTGCACTGGTCTGACAGATAATTTTTCAGGGGTTTGGTACTTATTCTGCTCCTTTGTGAGTGTTTGATAAAACCTTCTATGATACTTTTCTGTCATTGAGTTTGTTTTCTTCTTTCCTTGTGATCAGTTAGGACAGTGGGAAATTGCTGTCTCTGACTGTGTAGCCCTACCTTTACCAAGTAATAGAAGTCTGTATTTTGGAGTCATTCCAGGCTTACATTCAGTCTCTGTGGTTCAGGCAGAATGACTCTACCCAAGACTCCAGTGATGGCAGGTGACCCAGACCTAGTGGATCAGAACATCTCATCCCCTGGGCTCAGTGATTATTTATGGTTAAATACACACCACCCAAAAGCAACCTGAAATAATTCTAGTACTTATATTGGTATGTTAGAATGACAGAATCCCTCTTATTTTTTTTTCTCTATAGGGTGCATATACTTGCCAGAGAGAGAGCGAGAGAAAGAGAGAGAGATAGTGAGAAACCACTCCTCCAGGGAGATGGCCACACCTTAATACCTTCTCCTCATTCCCCTCTTAGGATCTTGGGCATGTGCGCATGTGCACATACACATACCCAGTCTGGTTTATAAGTTACCAGGTCCAGGACTCGAACTGCAAAGTTGGCCATGTGGGATCCAGTGACTTAACCTCCACTCCACCTGCTGTCCAGAATATGTTTTTTAAAAAGTGGCTGAGAACATAGGAGATCAGCCTAGTGCTGTGGTCAGTCATCAAGGCATGGTAGAAGAGCTTATCTGAGAATAGAGCCAACACTGAAGAAAATTGTTGAGAGAGGGCAAAGACAAAGTCAAGTGCTGATGGCTTTCTCTGAGTTCTGGGGTGGCTGAACCTGAGATAAGTCTATCCTTGATGTTTTTTCTTTAAATTATATTTGCTAATCGATTTCCTTTCCCTCCCTCCCTCCCTCCCTCCTTTCCTTCCTTCCTCCTCTTATTTTGTTTCCTCCCTTCTTTCTTTTTTAGAGGAAGATTTTTGCTATTGGGTGCATGCACTCACTGGAGACACGGAGAAAGTGAGAAATCACCCCCTAGGGTCTGGCCACGCTACAATCCCTTCTCCTCTCAGAATTTTGGGCCTGCATGTACACATGCCTGGTGTGAGGTTCTAGCCACCAGGTCCAGGACTCAAACTGCAGTCAGCCATGTGGGAGTCCAGTGCCTTTACCACTATGCCACGTGTTGGTCCCACCAATAGGTTTCTTTAGATTAATAATGCTTACCTATTGTTTGTGTGTAGAGGAGGGTACCTATTGATAGGAACAGAAGTACTATGTGATAAACTATTTAGAAAGGCCAAATAGTCATCCACTTTGGAAACTATGTAGCAAGAGAAAAGCTTTGTTTTATCTTGTGATGCCTAAACTTGGCACAGCTCCTAACATCTCCAGGTGAAGGTAAAATAAAAGCCCAGAATAATTCCCTCTTTCAATAGTTTGGGTGGGGACAGAAAACAGCCATGAAATGTAGGAGGGTAACTTCATGGTTTTTTGGTCCTTGACAAACTTCCTTTAGGCTCATATGCCGTTGCCTAGAACTTTTCTAACTACATTGCAATTAGATTAATTTACTTCTAAGAAAGTGACTAATTCCAAACTTTCGTCCTATAGCAATTCTCCAGTAGGTGACAAAAATATGAGTGTACAAATAGTTTGCAATTATTTACATAAATATAAAACATGCCATGAAAATTCTTTCAGACTCCTGGAATAAATAAAAAGGAAGGTACCCAAAGGACTTTCCCATTATACCTATCTCTTCCAGGCTGCTCCTTTTCCTTCCAGCCACAGAAACATGCAGGCTTTCTCAGTTCTTCATCTCCATCTGCGTCTTTCTGTTTATATACATCATTTGGGATAGAACTGGATCTGGAGTTATGGTGGGAAATGGAGGTCTGGAGAGCCTGACTTTTGTAAGTTTGTAATCTCATCCTTGTACTGATTTTATAAAAAAAAAATTCAGAACGCTTCTGATGTTTATTCAAATGACAAACAGACTGTTCCATAGCCAAGGAACATGAAAACTTGTTACAAAGAAATAGCACAAAGCAGCCAGACTTACTTGAGTTCTCTCCTGTGCTTTTGAAAGTATATGAGCCAGGAAATCCTTGAGATCTCTGAGAGCTGGTGTTTGCCAGGACAGCAAGGTTCGTAGCAAAGGAAGATTTTTCAAGAGCTGAAGCTCTGCCATGACATGACCTGGCAAGTAGATCTCAGACAAATATGAGCCTCTCTTTTATGTGCAAAAAATGTTATTGATGTACAATTATTTACATAGAGGGTACTTTTAAAAGTTCATGGGTGAAATTAAAGTATGAGTTTATTTTGATACCAAAAAATTGAAATCATAATATGCACCTTCCATGAACTTTCTGAAGACTTCTGCTTATA